ATACACTATTGTCCACTTTATATATTTTTTTGTTTTGTTTAGCTTTTCCTCGAGGAGAGGAAATTTTCAATAGGCATCCCCTTGAGGGGGTAGTATCGGATTCGCTGAAGGTGACGGGGTCTTCTGAGACGGTCTTTCGGTTAAGGGACGATGTCGGAAAGTGTCGAGATAGGCGAGTTTGGGTGACCTGACACTGAGAGTGCGAAAACTTGCCACGAATCTGATTGCAGTCTCGGGTAGTGAAGTTAGACCAGTTTCCTTCAGAATTTGGACGTTTCTGACGAACCAGGGGCAATTTAGTGCGGAGTGAATAATCCGAATCTAAGTGCCTTGGAAAATGTATAAGTGATGCTTCTGATGATTTCGTTGAACGCACAATTTTTTGTTAAGTTGGAGATGGAGTTGTTTTAGAAAATAGGATTTGAGGGAGATGAAGACGCCTAGGATTGATAGTAGTGGCTAGGTTGTGCTTACGTCAAATGACCGTTCTGTTGATGGCGACTGCGTAATATATGACGGAATGACTCCATTTGATGAGGTGGTTATTTATGACGATCGGGGGAGGCCTTCGGGTCCTATGGGAGAAGATTTCTTCCAACTTGACCTCGTTAACGGAGAGTTTCCATCATCAATACCATTTTAGGAGCAGAAACTTTTTAATTTTTGCGGAGCACTGGTGAATGGTTGGTCAGAGTTTATGAGGGTAATGCCATCGGCATAAAGAGCAGTGAGAATCGCGGTATGGGACGCATGTCTGTCCAGAACAAGTTAAATAAATACGGTGACAACTTGGAGCATTTTGGGTTTTCTAGAGAATAAAGAGTCACCGCGAACACGAAGAGTTCTGTTTGAGAAGAACGATCTGATAACCCCTATTAGGAAATGTGGGGTGTTGAGTGAGATAAACTTGAGATGAGACCTTCGTGCCAAACTTGATCGAAAGCCTGCTGGATGTCATTTTCATTCATCATAATTAGTTCAGTGAAACATTTTCAGTATGCAAATGCAATTAAAAAATAACTAACAAGGACCTCCGCTACAATGTTAATAAACTCGAGTCGTTGTTTCAAAGTGTATTAATTGTTTACTTTATTTTATAAAACATTTTATTTTTACACATGTTATTTTCATTATTTATTTGTAACTAATAGCAATTTTTCTTTNATTTGTCAGGCGTTTTTAATTAAAAGATATTTTCAATCGCGGTTCACCAGTCTAATGAATAGTGAAAATAAGCAGAAACTTCTTAAACGAATAACTAGTGTTTAATGTTTTATTTAATTTTTTGAAAACGAACGGAAATTATTTGCAAATTACCTGATTCATCAACTTTTGACAAAAAAATGGCGAAGTAAATTTTTAGTCAACGCATTGAAATCTACAAATAGCTCTTTAAAAATATCTGATATTAATGCCCACAGCACTAATATAATTTATGTATGTAGTTTTTCCTATGACTTATTTTAAAATACGTATCATTTAGTTTTATTATAGTTAAAGCAGAAAGAATGAATATTCGTCAAATCTTAATTTTAACAATTCTAAACTAATAATATTTTAGACAATAGGATGTAAAGGAACGTGTTTATTTCAATGTCACGATAAACAAGGAATACCGATGTAACCGTTGAAAACTGTTTTGCTTGTGATTGGTTTGTTTGTAAACAATTTTTTGCGTCTGATTGTTTTGTTTGTAAACCGTTTCGATTACTAATACGTTTCGTCTGATACTGTAAGCTTCTTTCGGAAAGGTGGCTGGAAGATTTTAAAACGACCGTTGATTATATTATTATTAATAGGAGGGCATGAGTGGACAGAGTGAACAAAGGGAGCATAACGAAAAAAAAANCTATATAAATATTTACATGCCTAGAAATGTATAAAAATTGGCATATTTTTAACTTTGAACCCCTATAACTTTTTATGGAGGTGAAATCGCCACGAACTTTTTATGGTACAGTCGTAGGGGAGACCTCCTCCTTCGATCTTCCCCATCCTCACCCCCGAAGGGGGTGGGGACCATCATCTAGACCTTTACCAAAATTTAATATTAAGAAGTATAATGGTTTGTACAATACAAGTTTTCCACAGTATTGAACAGCTATCCTGATACACTTATTTTTTATCGGTTACAAACAGTTTATCAATATACACTTCATTTTACCGTCTTCCGTCTTTTTCGTCTTTATTGTCGTTTTCAAGATTTCCGTCTTTTGTGCGTCGTTCGTCTTTTACGCGTCTTTCGTCTTTTACACGTTTTTCGTCTTTTATTGTACTCTTTGTTTTTTAGTCTGACTTTGAAGGCTACCTATTTGCAACTACTCCGACCCCCCTAGCGGTATTCATCGTCGTTCGCGTAGGTAAATTCCCTATAATCTGGGAATTCGAAAACAATTCGAATGAATCAGGAGCGGACAAACTGCAGAAGCTCGCTGTTGTATTATTAGGATAAATAGAACCATTCTAATTTAACGAAAAGAAAAATATTTAAAATGAAACAAAAACCCACAATAAAATAATTTGGGTTCTCACAAATAATTTCTAATAGAATTTTAGTGGAGCATGAAGGTGAGTTTGATTACACCGCCCTACAAAATTTTGTTGCCTAGTATTTTCAAATTAATTTAGGGTTATTCAAATCTGTTAATTTATAAAATTAAAGCAGGTTTTCCAAATTAGCTCTACTTTTTGGGATAGTGAATACCATCAATTTATAACCATAACGCATGCTTTTTAGAAATAGTTGAAAGAGGTATAAATATAACAATTTATAGGACACGAGGTGAAGCTTGTTTTTTACTTTAGCGAAGATAAAGGAAATATTTATTGTAACGACATTCCCGAGCTTCTTCTTTTAAGGAATGGTGTACTGTGTAGTTTGCTGCACCAATATGCTTCGACTCTTGTTGCCCACTCAACAAAATTTAAAGAAGAATATGAAAAAATTACGTTAGTTTTGTAGACTCTTTGCTATCGTGTGGATCTGAAAAAGGTGAATTTCTTGCTTTGGTAGCAAAGTGGGTACCTATACCAAACATCCTGGTTTTATCTGATTGTGGGATAGTAGGGCGAAGCAAGATCCTTGGAATAAGATTTATTGGCCAATAAGACAAACTATTACTGCAGGATCAGTGAATGTATAGACGAACCATTAGTAGACAGAAAAAAAAAATCACTATCCCACTGATCCACATCAAGTTAGGACTCGTGGGACAATTTGTTAAGGCTTTGAAGAAAGATGATAATTGCTTCAAATATCTTTGTAGATCGTTTCCTTAAATTTCTTCAAATTTGCAAATACATTAGGAACTCTAACTTTACAAATCGCATGACGACTATTAATGCTGCTACTGATGTTGCTTTCGTCTCGATCATTAACAACTCTTGGGAAACTACAAAGTGGATAGTTATGCGAAGCTAGTGTAGCAGATGCCAATAAACTTTAAAATCTTGGATTCTAATATGAGAATTAAAGTGAACTTCCTTCCTAGCCGCTTGAAAAATATTTCCGACAATCTTAAGTGAGGAGCAAAGACAAAAATTCCACCAGGATGTGAAGGTGATGGAAGAAAGATATCAGGGCAGATGGGATATATCATTATTGGCGTTGTTAATTTTTTGTCACACCTCCGCAGAAAGTTCGACTTTCCTATCCTCTATACATGAACGAAAGTAACTCTTTTTCATGTGTAAAGAAAGAAATTTTACACATTACAGAATAGGTATAAATCGCAATTATTTTGAAAACCGTCAAGCATAGACCATAATATGCCTTAATAAAATCAAAAAATAATTTAATTTTGCATCTGACTATGTCAAAATGGAAATGGCTTCCTATTTGAAAAAAATGAGTTATTGATGTTTGAAATATTTAAAGTTTGAACATTACTGGTGTAATGATTTAATTTGCTTTGAAAGAGATTTTTCGTGCGTTTCATGCTCTTTTCAACATCGACAGCCGAATCTTTTAGCGAGTATAACTGCCGAGGTATTAAAATTTTTGCAAGGTACTACAAACGTCAAGTTTTCAAAAAATTACTAAATAACTTCATAAAGATAACATGTAGACAAAAACTATGCTTAACAAACTGTACATTAAAATCGATGCTGAATTCAAAAATGTAATAATATATAGGGTGCATATCCGGAAGTTGGTCATCATTGAAATTATCTTACGCAGATGTATCATTTGACCAGGAACATTTTTTATTGGAAAATTCCATTTTTAACGGCAAGGCCGACAGAATAAGACGCGCTAAATGGAGTACCCTGTATAAACCTTATGAAAAGTGTATATTAATGTTATTATGTTTATTTAATAAACGATTCAAAAGCGTTATTTAAGCTGAAATAGTTTATTGACGGTAGATAATCCAGTTTCGATTGCACATATTTCAAATTCTGCAAATTTCTATTCTTTTGTAAACATTAAGTTATTTTTAATACTTTTCATTATTTTTAATCATAGGACACCTTTGAAGGCATGAAGGTCTTTCAATATAGGGTAAACACAAATAAATTTTTATACAGTAAACTGTGACCGTTTGATAAACACTGTTCTTTGAAGAAATTTGGTTTGGTATTATTCTTATACCGATATTATTTCAATTTATAAATTTATACATGACTACACTTAGTTACTATACACAAATTTCATTTTTTGATCAGTATTACAGGTGTAAATAGAGATCGTTAAGGTTTAGTTAATTATTAAAACACAAATTAAGCCTTTCACAAATTTTTCTTACTCAAAAATATAGTTTCGCCGTTGTACCTTTTCAAGTAAGTAGATTATATTGAAAATATTATACTATAGGGCGGCAAAACTGTAAGAGTAAAAATATGGGAAGATTTAATTTGTTTTAATTAATTTTTTAGAAATGGTTAAAAACTTTTATCAACAGTCAACTCACTCATAATTAGTTTGTTTTAATTTTCCGTTTATTTTCCTTCTAGTCGCTTTTTAAGGAATTCGTTTTATAAAAAATAAAATAAATTGTAGATACCTACGCCTGCAGCCTTGTTCTTAATTATGCAATTAAAAATAAAAATGGCGATATTCCTGAGCATATAACTCAGGTAATGGATAAATTGTTAGTTACTTTCAACAAAATCGAATGTGCCAGAACTAAGGCAGCAAGTTTAAGATCTATTGTGATAATGGCTACAAGTTATCCAAAGATTGTAATGAATAATTTACTTAACCAACCGCTCCCATACCAACTGTAAGTAATTGTTAAATCTACTTTTTAATCTTTTTTTTACGATTGGTACCTATATTTACCAGTAAAGAAGTTTTTAAAATTATGAAATGGAATTATTAATATGACATAATTTCATATTTTTTTTTATAGAACATAAAGGCAGGCAATAATTTGATATGTACTAGTTAGCGTAATAAGGCGTTTAAAACCGGCAATGATTCATATATGGCGTATTAAACGTTTCCGGGAAACAGAAGTGATAAGAAAACATACACTCAAATCTTGTTAATAAAATTCCAAAGGAATAATTTTTTGTTATATGCTATTCATTATTCGAGTCTCAAATATATAATGATGTACTACAGTTTCTTCACCTAAATACTTTCAACAATATGCTTTTTAATATTGAAATGCTGCTGTTCATAACAGATACAATGCCAATGACAACATGATTCAGTAGTTTCTTTGTTGCTATGTCATACTATTGAATTTGTATCTTGTTCCATGCAGTAAATTTGCAACTGTATTGTATGGAGTGGCACCCCTTTTCACAGTGGTTTATCACAACGCATATTTTTGCGGAATGCTTTTTGTACGCTTCTGTGAATCATTGCCTATTATTTCGAATTTCCAATATAAAAGAGTATGTTTTCTTTGATTTACAATAGCAGTGATAAGTGGTAAAGGGTCCTAATATAATGTAGGCTTTTTCTTTGTTTGACTAGGATTAAATAAAAACGAATCCAGTTCCACTATTTTGGAATGTGTTTAATGAATAAAATTTAATATTAAGAAGTATAATGGTTTGTACAATTAACGTTTTCTACAGTNACTTTATGATGATGGTAATCGTAATTCATTTTATTTATTTATAATAATGGAGAACAGTAAGAGCTAATATACATATATAATTTCACTTTCAACGTATGCAATAAACTGAGGAAAAGAGTAAGATTTTTAAAAGTAGATTTGAACCGGAAAACAGAATGAATCAAAATTAGAATTAGAATACGCGGAAAAGTGAGCCTTAGCAAGAGTAAACATCACAGTGTAGCAAAATTACAGAATAGCGTCCTGTAACAGACTTTTAAAAGTTTCTACATTTCTAGATTGGATACAATGACTAGGAAGTCTGTTCCAGGAGTAAACTATTCTGTTAGTTATAAAATTATTGCGCGCCGCGGTTGATGTGCGCTCTTTGTCAATCTGCAGATTGTGACCACGTCGGGCCCAGGCTGTCGCTGGGGCTCGATTGAAGAGGTTGACAAGATCCGGTGATTCGCAAAGGTCATTCAAGACCTTAAATGTCTCGGCGAGGTCCGCAGCGAGGCGCCTTCGTTGGAGAGTAGGCAGGTCAAAGGCTCTGCATCTGTCCGTGTATTCCACGTATCTAATCTCAGGTACCAACTTAGTAGCACGTTGTTGTACGGCTTCGAGCAGAGTGATCTCTTTGACGAAATATGGAGTCCAGACACAACTGGCGTATTCCACAAAGGGCGGAACGTACGTAGAGTAGGCGGATCATCTCTCTGTCAGGTTTAGCAAAAGCTCTTCTGAGTAGATATATTCCCGTGTTGGCTTTCTTGACAATCTTGGAGATGTGTGAAATCCATTTGAGATCCTGGGTCATGGTTACCCCAAGGTCCACTTGGGATTCTGAGTTCTAGGGTGCAGCTGAGGAGAATGTAACTTCTCCTGAGATTCCTCTTAGCCAGATGAAGTACCGTACACTTGGCAGCATTCAGGGGCAGAAGCCATGAAGAAGACCACCTTGCAATGTAGTCTAGGTCTTGTTGGATGTCCTGGTAAGCCGTTATGGGATTGCCAGAAATTTTTGTGTCGTCCGCAAGACACTTCCAATTCGAGGTGATGCCATCTCCAATGTCGCAAGTGTACAATATAAAGAGGACCGGGCCAAGAACAGATCCCTGTGATACACCCCTGGAAACTGGATAGAGGTCCGAGATGGTGTTATTTCGCACTCTGATGGTCCTGTTTCGAAAATAATCTTTGATCCATTTCAGGAGAGACACTTGGATACCAAGTTTCTCTAGCTTGTGGATCAGGCGCCGGTGAGGTATCTTGTCAAACGCCTTAGCGTAATCCAGGTAAATCACGTCGGCTCGATTCCCCGAAGACAGTGCTCCTGTGCAATGGTTATGAGCTGACACTAGGTTGGTCACGGTTGATCGCCGGGGAAGGAAACCGTGTTGCTGGTACGGAACTAGTCTCGAGGCGGCGATGTGGTCATGAAGGCGTCTGACTATGATTCTTTCCAGAACCTTACCGATGGTGCTGCATAGGTTGATCAGCTTATAATTGAGGGCATCACGTTTATCGCCCTTCTTAAAAATTGGTGTCACAATAGCCTCTTTCCAAGCCTCAGGAGGAGATTTGTCGGCCGATGTAAGAGAAGTATCCTTTACCCCCAGAGGCGATAATTCTTCTCTCATATTCGGTTCTCAGACGTCTGGCCAAAACAGTGAGCCTGTTACATATGAGTCGGTGTGCTGTATAGTCACTTCTCTATAGATCCATGGTTTGCACTTGGAAGAGCGGAGTTTGTGTCGTGGCGTGTGCGACTCCAGGAGGGCTGCACACGCATCCGGGAATTCAGCATAGACCTGTTCGACATCACGATGCAAACCTGGGCTAGGACCCGTTGGGAACAGAGATGATGACAGTTCAGCAAGATCCAGTTTGACAGCTTCGAAATCATTTCAGTTATAATTGAGTCTGTGAACCTGGGATCTGGGGCGATCCGAAGCACTGTAGATGGATATCTGCAAACTCGTGGTGACCACAAGATAATCACTGAAGTCGATGTTGGGTATGAGAATTGGTGGTGTGACGGCGTCATCATCGTTTACCAGAACGAGTTCGAGATGTGAAGGTGGATGGTTTGCTCTTAAAATCGCCAAATACAATTGCTGGCACAAATGAGACACTAATGGTAGCTAGGGTGGAGAAGAGAAAGTCGCCAATAGCTACACGTAGCCAGAGCGCCTCAAGCAACGGATTGTCGTAATTGGTGATCCGTTCGGCCAGGATGTTTATGTTGTCCAGGTGGTGTTTCACGTAGATCATCATGCCGCCTCCTCGTTCGAGCCTGTCATGTCAGAAGATTGAATAGCCAAGAAGCTGATCATGGAGTCAGGTATGTCGGGATGAAGCAAGGTTTCAGTCAAGAGGATGAATTCAAGTTGGAGGACGTCGAGTTCTGCAGTGAATTGGTTAAATTTGAATAACAGGGATGCAATGTTTGTGTACATAAATGTTGGTTGCTTGATATTTATTGGGATTCTTCTTGCTGCTCTCCACGCCCGTTTCCCGGATTTTTGACGATCTTTGGTTTGTCACGCACGTACATCAATTTGACCTTGGAATGAGTCTTCAAAGTTTCAACCAGCTGAGCTCTGAGACTGACCAGTTCCTCACGTTGCAGTGAGGTTTGATCGTTGTTAATCCCGAGAATGTCCGGTAGGAGATGTTTATTGCGTAGTAAGAGCTTGGCTGAGAATGCGTCCCCAAGCAAGACTCTCAGAGGTCGCGGTTTAGCCGCCTCGGGATTCTTTTGACCGATACGATGGACTTTAGGTGGTACCACGGTTGAGTGAAGCTCCATATCGCCAAGTTTGAGATTGATGTACTCAAGATCCTGTTGGTTGCACAGCTTCACTGTTGTGGCACTTGATTCAAAGACACCATATATAATGACATTTTTGCTTCGACGTTCTCTCTCTTGGTTAGCCAGAATCCGTGAGCTCGGTAGCCGATATCAGCCGCTGTGGTTTCCTCCAGTTTCTGCTCAACAGCGCGAAATCGGCCAGGGGTTTCCGTTTCGAGCAATTCCAGTCGATCTTTTATCTCTGTATGTTCGGATTTGCATAGGGTGAGGTCTCTTTTTTTGCAAAATTTTTGTTTTTTATTTTTTCATTATATTTTGTTGTATTTTTAATTTCTTTCTATTTATATTTTTATAAATACACTGACTAACTCACATATATCTACATATAATGCCTATTCAAGCTTTAAAAATTGAACCGGCAACATTGCACTCTAACAACTGATTGGGTTGACAATTGTCAACTTACATGGACGCTCAATCAAATAAATAAATAGCCGAAGTGACGAACTTTCTACACAAATGTGACAAAAAGTAGTATACGCACCTCATTGGGAAGAAAGTGGGTTATCACAGACCAAGTGTCTGCCACCCTCTCCTTCGGCTTGGCTGGCAATTCACACAAAATCTGTAGTAGCCCACTTCCCTCCCTTGGTACGTAATATACTATAGCGTTAATAGTTTTCGAAAGCACTGTCAGTTTTATTAAAACTTGCTCTATTAATTTTGATATTTTTTCTTGTGTTTTATAAAAATTAGGTAATTAACTCCAAAAACAAAGTCAATACAGCAAAATGAATTTCATATTCGTAATCAGCACTACAAAAATTATCTATAAACCGCTGAAATATTATTGGCAACAAATCAGTGTTGAGCGGTGTTATCAATATGACCCTACATAAATGCATACGAATACGCAAGATTAGCAAAAAGAAAACGAATAGGCACCATTATAATGATGAAAAAGGACAATAAACTAATTTCCAAGTAATTATTATAATTAAAATTTATGATCTATGGATTTTGCAGACATGCTATCTATGTTTCGTTGATAATTTATTCGTCACGGTCAGGTGTAATTGCCCTATTTCAAGAGCATATACGTTATTTGCATTCGTTTAATGATGAAGATGAAAGTCAATATTTCTGCTTCCTTAATTTTAATGACTAAAAAAGATTGATAACCATAATTGCTGTTTAGATTGTTTTATTTAGGTACATCAAAATTTTCCGTTTTTTACGGTTAATCATGTGGGGAGGTTAGAATGTCAGTTCTATCATACTTAAGAGAATATTACGCGATCATTCATGCCCGCTTGCACCGAAATAAATATTTTAACGGTTTTCGGTCGTAGTTTGGTATTTTTGCTACTTATACAAGAAAGATAAGGTTGTTCTAGTCATTTGGTGCTTCGATAGGCATCAGACGAGAGTTATTCTGTAACAAATTTTGGTTTTTATTTGTTTCAGTTATTTATTGGTATACTAAAGCCACTTGAGAATTTTGATATTTTATTTATTTTCTTTACCGCAACACTTCTCTATAATATGAAAACTCTTCTACTCTTTTACTCTTCTTCTTCCTAGTATTTGTACATCTATATGTACATATAAACTCGTCTAACTACTTCCTCGGTTATTTGTCGCACTGATGAGTGCATATTAATAAATATGTACTTACAAAGAATAATGTAACATTTACATCAGAACGTAGGTCTTTGATTTTTTGTAGTACTGTAGTTTTGTAAACATAATTCGTATTGGTTTTGAGTAAATCCTGTTTTATTTGACCTCACAAAAACGGGATAGTTGCCCACTGTAAAAATTCTTACAGGGGATACTTGCCTCATGCGGGGATAGACGTCTCACCACGATTTTTTTTAGATAGAAATATATCAATTTATGTAATCAGTCTTTATTATTTACTGAGATCCTTTATTAAATAGTAATCAAAATATTAATCAATGTTATAAAATATGGTAGTAAATAACAAATAAGCGAGATAGGTTGGTATCCCTTTCTGACTCTCTTCCTAATATTTACTTCTCTACATTGCAGCCCCAGTTCTATATCTACCTGTTGCTCTTTATACAAACTAAGTATCACTGTTCTATCTTTGTAACTCATACCTACATTTATTTTGGTATATTTAACATCTTGTCCCACTTAACATCGGAAATGTAAAGCCTTTGTGTTTACGCAACTTTTCAAACGAGTATCAGTGCTTATCTTCTTTCTTAGTGAAATATTACGACAAATTGAAGGGACTTGTCTTGAAACAACGGAGCTTCAGTTCATCTAGCCCTGACAGAGTAAACTTTCTAATAATGGATGAAATTAATGTTATGAATATTAGTAGTAGTCGATATTTTATAATATCCAACGTTTTATTTTTGATCTCCTAGGATATCATCAGTAAATATAAAATATATCCTCAATTGTTTACCTTTCGGTTTTAATTCTGGCTGCAAGTCAATAATAACACTCATTAAAATTTTTTAGGGTTATTTGCGATTGCTTGGGAGCGTTATCAACTGACGAAAGTGTTGTCCTAATTTTTTTCGACCATTTTAAAAAATTATTTAAATGCACCACACCATATGCAGAAAAACATAGCGATACAAATATTACAAGTTTACAACCACTTCAGGTAACTAATTTTAGTATTACATTATTCCGACTCTATTTAAATAATGTTTCAGGTTATATGCGCATTAAATGAAATATGCAAAAATGTTCAATTGCAATCACTTGTTAAACAGCAGTTTCCTGATGTTTTTTGTCGCTTAATCATTATCCTTGCTTCATATACCGAAGTTGAAATGCCAGCGAAAGACATCCAGTGTTTAAAACCTACAAATTTATGTCTCAAAGCCGCAAAGCAAATATTAACTTGTTGTGGTTATGATGAAGTATCAAAAGTGCTTCCTTACAGCGGGGTCACTGAATTAAAAGATGTCCTTGATATTATTCCGAAATTAACCAAGGAAATGTGCGTTGTGGCTTCTGACATACTGCCTTCATTCGTTTCATCTTTGGCACAGTTTTCGAGGTATTTACATTGATCACAATACCTTCCTCTTATAGTAAACGAATAACGATTTTTTTACCTATGATTCTTTCACATGTCGCAGGTCGGAATGTATTCCTTGGAGATCTTGTGCAACGAAATTCCTTGCATCATTACTAGAATACTATATTGACATTTCTTTGGTTCTTGCTGAGAACATTATTGAAATTCTTTTGGGGTGTCAGAGCGACTCGAGCTGCATGGTTCGCCAAATAGCCTTTTATGGTTTAGGAGTAGCATTGGAAAAACTACACTGGGATATTACGTCAAGATACTGCGACGGTATTGTGGATGCGTTTTTGCGGACATTAGAATATTATAATGGAAAAGAAGAACTACAAGTGGTTTTAGAATGTATATTAAGTTTTTCCAAGCTTTTAAAGGCATTGGAGAAAAGTAATTATCAACTCTGTTCATTTCAAGTAACGGCAGCTGTAAGAATAAAGCCATTATTTGAACAAGAAAGCGGAGATTTAAGGGCCGCTTCGTTTTACTTTCTTGGTGATCTTGCTGATTCTTCATTAAGAGGAAAGAATGCTGATGTCTTCAAAGAACATATTTACGGAGATTTCGTACCTCTATTGCTACATTTGGTTGATGAAAATGAAGGTGTTGTTCAGGTAAGCTAATAAAAACGTTAAAAATAGTGCTTAATTAGCTTTATCGACACCATAATACTTATCTAACCACACAACGAGTTTCTCAGGTAAAGAAACATTATTCTTTATGATTATCGAGTAACAAGAATTATAATCTTAATTTCTTTTTGCTTTTTTCTCACTCTGACTTTCTCTATTATCTTGAACCTTGACAAAGCTCTTGTTCAAACTAGAGTGGGCGGATCGGCTTGCAATTTTGGATGATTTAGTGAGTCGAACCTAAGGTCAAATCATAATGGGGGGAGGGGGGTTAGAGGGAATCCAGACTAAGACAAGTCTCTGAAAAAGGGCATCAGCTCTTTCAGTACTCACTACCACATTATGATATCCTAAGTAAAACAATCCAAAAACTCAACTAATAGCGTCCATCATTTGTTCATCCTTCAACTTCACGCATTTAATACTATCGTGCCTTATGTGACTCGAAAATGTCGACAGATTTCCTTCAAATTTAAATTAAGGGTGTCATTAACATTTTTTATGTCGGATAATATACTACTTTAACTTTAACTGCAACGGAAAGTACTTGTCAGGTAATATTTGTTTCCGTCTTCTGTAGAGACTGATTATCCGGAAGGTAAACTAGGCACGTGTCTAGAGCGCGAGGTTATAGAGGAGGAGGGCGAAATTTGTGAAAAATAAAAAATAATTGCGTACATAATTGATCCAGCATCGAAAAATAATTACACATTCCCAAATTTTCGAGAATTTCTTCTATTTTACGCCGGAGATATTTATCTTACACTAAGACGTCGATAGTCAATAACAAGTCGACATTGTTATATTTAACTTCATTAGTAAATGGTAGTATGTTTTCATTTTTATTATATATTTCTGCATATCTATTTGTCGATTCCAATAATATAGACCTTTCTTCTATAATATCGTACTTAATAAAAATGGGGTATCTTCAAGCAGAACAAAATTTAGAAAACATGCGTTACGTGTTTCTTACCCTTACCTTCATGGCTATTATCTTTTTGTGAACTAAAAATGTATATGGAGCAGTAGAATTATCCGACAAGCAAGGTGTTTAAGTTCTTGAGAATGGCTTTCTTCTTTTCTTTCGAAAATCCTCGAGATCCATCAAGACAAGTAACGCTTTTAAGAATCTGGATCTTTTTCATCATCTTTTTCATGAGAAAGTCTAAAGTTCTTTTGTTTTCTCGTTGAAAGAAGTTTTATACTTTAGGATGTACTGGCCACATTCGGCAACAATTTGGACTATCTCAGATAAATAAAACCTACTTTACTGTTTGTTGAAATGTTCAATTTTCCAAGTTGTAAAAGCCAGTTTGCTCAATTTTTTTTAACAATTACGTTGCCTTTACGCGAACATCCAACTACATCAGCAAAGTCATAACTCCTTTGCTTTCTTTTCATAGACAGCTTCGCCTGGTGGTTTTGTACTGTTCTATACTTTCTCCGCTTTTACTTGAAGGTGATATTTGAATGTGTTGTGTTTTCTTGCAATTTCACTTGTTTCTCGCTTTAATCGTAATCGCTTCCAAGTATTCAGCAGGAAGGATTTTCTTTCCATATTTGACATCTTCTAGAATTCAGTGTTAATGTTCTTTTTCACTTTTCCCGAAACTAGGGAAAAGCATATCTTCTTATAACTATTTTCGCACCCTGTTAGCACTGATTGATCTTCAGCAAGCTTCGCTAGTTTCATCAACTGGCGAATTTTAGGATCCGTTTAATAGCTTTTTGGTTTGAGAATTATTCCCGCGTTTGTAAAAGCATCTCCTAAAACAACAGAAAAGAATTATGGAAACAAAAGTTTCACTGTTATCAGACAACTCTGGATTAGGTTTATCTGGAATTGGTAGTCTTTTCTGTAACTGATTGAAGAAATGTCATCGCTACCATAGCCGATTTCCTCATGGAATGTGGCTTCTTCTATATAAGATCCATTATTATTACAGGTTTAGGTGACCGTTTCAGAAAATTCATCTTGTCACGAGGTAAACTGTTACTTTAGGTTTTTTGTTAATTATTTATTTTAATTATCTGATTATAATGTGTTATTATTTTGTCGTGATTGGACGTAAGGTATTAAAATAATAAGAAATGCGAAATTGGGAAACAATAACTTTTTTATATAGTAAAGTAACATAGACATGAAGTTTAACAAGATACAGATTACAAATAGATTAGAGTCAAGTTATTTAGATAGATAACATTACAAATGAAAATTAAACAAAAACGTTTATAAAAAGGATGATGCAGATCAATGCACCTTAAGTGTTAACACTTACGTTGATAAGAGCGTTATAATCATCTTGATAGTGTAATACGTTTTCGCAAATTCAGAAAGATATGTATATGATAAGTAGGCGGAGCGAGTGTGTGGTGTGATGCGAAGTAGTGTAGTGAGGGAAGGTGCAAGGGCAGTAGTTGAGCAAGTCCGAAAGGGTGCGGACCCATGTAAATAGCAGTTGAATAAAGAATATTATACATACAATTATTAGTCTTGTGTGACATCATTTAAAACCCTTACAATTATCAGAAGTGGGATCGAAGGAGTTAAATGTGTCGTTGTGTACGTCATTAATACAAAGGGCTTGAATTCTCGATAAAATAAGTAATAACTGCTAGTGAATTTACATTGTTTGTGGTTCAATTACTCAAGATTTATATCAAAAGTGTGAAAATGAGTGATCCAAGTGCACTCACGGTGATGGAATTAAAAGAGCAATTACGTAAGCTGGGTTTATCCACTACAGGAAATAAAAATGAGCTTATGATGCGATTGATGGAAGCAGATCCTGAGGGAATATGGATGGCTTCTAGACAGCAGAGTAATGAATTGGTAACAAGTGAAGTGAATCGAAATATGGGAATTAGTCGTTCATCCTTAGAAGAACAAAGTAGAGGTACTGTGTCGGAAGAGGACGCAACAGGACGAGTTCAGGGTGAAACTGTACCAGAAAGTGAGGAAGGTAACAGGCTCATCAGAAGGGAGCTTGAATTTAAAACCCTTACAATAGGAGGTATTGCCACCAACACTTAGGGTATCTTACCGGTTATCCGTTAAGAGTAGAATATTTTCGTTAACGCGTTCCCGAGTCGACTGACCGCGATTAGACCATCGATTCTCGTCCACGTGCTAATGGGTCGTTCACTGGTTCTAGAAGTTTCTTTGGTTTAACTGATTTAGTAAAAACTGAGGAAATTTCCGATACTAACCAGGTTGAAAATCTTCTTTGTCTTTTTCGATGACTTCGTGGAATTCTAGAATTTTCACAGTAACCAGAGCTATAGAACTTGCCTTAATTTCTGCTTGTACATAGATAATTCATTGAAAAAATTCTTTTCGCTTTTGTTTTGTTGCTGCAGAATAACAATGCGCTTATTTTGTAAGTAAATGAACTCGATATCTGTTTCATGAATTTTGAAAGAATTGCAACTTTATAACTATTAAATATTTAATTAATTTTGAAATATGTTTTAAAATATTTCTTTAAAACTCCACTGCGTGACAATCTTCTTCAAGAATATCATCTCTTCTTATTCCTAATGACCAATATATCATTAAAACAGAACTATTTTTGTACATTAGCCGTATAAATGTATTGATATACCTTCGTTCTCAAAATACTGGTGCTCACTTGACGGATTTCTTCAACAAACCCACATTTTTGTGGCGATTCAGGAAGGCTAATGTCTCCGGAATTTATGGGTTCTTTAGGAAAGATCGTCGTTGTTTTTGGTACGTGAATCCAACTTTGTTCAGAGCTAAGGACTACTGCTATATTCATTGGTATCACCTTGTTCAGAGAAAGGTGTGCTTTTCAACCAAGCTGTCAGTTTATTACAGGAAATAGTACATGATTCACCCAATTTTAGAAAACCTGAATCCTCACATTCATGAAAAGTTGTTAATTTTACAGGTTTATAACTAGTGTAATGTATAATCAAAATGATTGCTCCCGGCTTCAAAATATGGAACATTTGTATTTAATTGTAGTTTACAATAAGTTGTACAAGCATGATTAGTAACAACAAATCCAATTCCAGTATATAATAGTAAGAACTGGGTCTTGTTCGTTTTGTACCAGCGTCAAAATTTATGTAGTCCGCTTTGATAACATGATCAGTCTTCTAATCTACGTATCTGTTCACAGATTTATTGACGACACAAGCAATCAATTATCTTCCGTCACTTTGCACTTTTAATGCCACAGCAAACTTAGTTGATTGAATTGCGATTTCTTACCGCAAAGCGTATAGAAAGTCTAACAAGTTAGCTAATTTTACCTCGATTTGATCGAAATAATCGGAATAACTCCAGTTACATTATTGAGTACACCGTGTTAGTTCTAATTCTAAAATTATTTTAAAACGGAGCTTCTGTTCGCAGTGCCAGTTATTTTTATTTAAAGTAAAGATCCGTTTTCTGAAAACGGAAAACCTTTTTTAAAAAAATTACAAATGAGATGTTTCGAGGACTAATACATTTATATATGTCGGGAAATAATTCTTGTCGGCAGTATATATTTATAATATCGTGTTCTGTGGACATTGTAGGAATTGCATGAAATGTTTATTCCACTACTTACATTCTCTAACGCACCCTGATATTCGTCCATCTATCAAATTAACGTTTCATCTAGCTATGAACAAGCAGTTCCAGTTAAAAGGCAACACGACACGTTTCTGTCCTCTGAGGAACCTTTAAAATACCTTCAGACAGATTCGAACACATACACATATACGTAGTCATGTCACTCTGAGGGATACTGTTACTGCTTTACATGCATAGACCGCTTCAGATGTTGGTTTATGAAGGATGAATATGTCGATTTGGTGCATCTTCACAGATTACTAACCAAGGAAAACGATTCAGATCTTAACTCTTCAACAAACTGTTTCATCTAACGAATATGAAACACATCCATACCACGACATACCACCCTGCAGCTAATGGAATGGTTGAACGATTTTATCTAGTTGAA